AAGCGAAGGCAAAGTGGGTTGTTCCGTAATTATTGTGTTCCTTAATCCCTTTTTCTAATTCCTTAAGGTTCATTAATTATCACTGTCTATTTATTACCCAACACATCCTTCTCCCTCTTTCTCAATCTAATTTCTTGCCCCCTTTTAATTTCATTACCTCTTTTCTTTTTTTTCCCCAATTTAAAAAAAATATCTCAATGTTGATATTTATTTATCGGTTAAATAGTCCATTTTCTCGTGCATTTTGGTTACTACGATTTGAACTTAATTTCAATTTGATCTCTAAAGTCTATTCAACCTTCAAACGAACCAATTATTATTATTTTCGTGGACTAAATTGAAATTTTTAGAATTAGAGAGATAATTATCGTTGTTTATTTGAATTCCATGAATGTTACACCATGTTTGCTAATGAAACAAAAAAAGAAAAAGAATGAGAATTATTCTCCATTGCATTGTTGTTATTGTTGATGTTTGTCACAAGTTGGGAATGATGTAACTTATGGGTTTGGCATCAAATTAGAGAGTAATTGAAGTGATTTTAGAGAAATGATATTATTCGCCGAGCCTTGTTAAGATTTCCAAACCACGAGATAAGAAAATTGTGGGTAAATAAGTTTGTATTTTTTTCTCTCAAACGTATTCAAAATTCTTTCATCTTTTTCCTATCTGAAAAATGTGTCAACAGGAAAAAGAAAATATCTATGCAGAGGTATTTATTTGGATAATAAATATAATGTAAGAAAGAGAGAGAGAGAGAGAGAGAGAGAGAGAGAGAGAGAGAGAGAAAAAGGGAAAAATTGAAGAAAGGGAATAAAGGAAGAAAAGTGTGGGGTGTAGAATAGTATAGATGTGAGATTGTAGTGTACCCCAATGTATGAAATGTGTTTCTTAAATGGGATGCTTAGAATCAACTCACTCTCCCCATCACTCTTCTTATGGGCCCAATTTCCCCATGCTCACCTCATCCCTCTCCCTCTCTCTCTATAGACTTTCAAAATCTATAGCTTTCAACCCCAAATAGTATTATGCACTATTTTAACAATAGTTACTCCGACTTTAAGATGGAGGTATCGATTTCAAACTTATCACTTCTAAATGCGTTTAGATCAGTATGATAGAATAGTGTTCATAAGATACATGGGTTGATCCTCTCGTTGCCAATTGTTTTAAGATGAACCTCATGAAAATTGATATGGCATAAGAGCCCAACAAACTCAAACCAACATCGAGTAAAGAAGAAGGAGATCTGGCCTAGATTGGTGAGCCCAAAAAAGCCACCATCTAGAACGAACGGATTAAAGATCTCACATCGAAAATATCAAATGACTTAAGATATATAGACTACTTTTCTAGTTGCCAACTAATTTTAAAGTGGAATCCTATAAATATTGAGAGACATCGTGATTTGATTAATTTGAAGTAATTCAAGTGACAGCGGTAAAAAAAGAGGATAACAAAAAGGTTAAAAGTAAAGTGGAGTATTGATTTTGTGACAGCTGCAAAATGGGTGTTTGTTTTGGTAATTAAACATTGTGAAAGGCTCTTTAATTTGTGTTTCTAAATGATGGGTTTTTGGTCTAATTTTTCCCCATGCTAACTTGTTTTCTATCATGTCCCCATTTGACTAATGACTTCATTACTCTTTTCTAATCTTCTCATCTTCCTATCCTTTTTTTTTAAAAAATTTTTTGTCTCCTTCCACCATAAATTAATCCACTGTTTTTGACACCACACATCATAGCTTATATATTTTGACAACTTTGTATGAAAAATGAGGAAAAAAACTCATGTGAATCCTCTTAACTAACTGTATGTGTTAGGTTGACAAATGCTTTTGGTATGACAAAAATATTTTACGGTCAAAATCATCATATTTGGTAGTAACATAAAAGTACTTTTACGAAAAAAAAGTCAAAAGTACCTTAAATGTTTTGTTACGAAGTATTGGATATAAAGTGTTTTACTACGAGTGTGAGACTGTGAAACACTCGAAAAATACTGCTTTGTTATTATAATTAAGATAATTTAGTTAAAATTAGTTAGTCTTAAACTCACTTGAAATATGATGAATGTTGATATTATTATAAAAATTTAATCAATTGACTGATAATAAATGAGAATTTGTATAGAACTAACAAATTGGAGAATTCACCCGATGATAAAATAAGTTTATTAGTGGCATATGTCTATTAAATCTATTAGCATTGGGTGAAGATATTAGTTGTTTTACTCTGAAAAAAAAATGAACGAAAAAATTTAAAAATTCACCATTTTGCAAAATCACCCATTAAAATTTCCAAACAAATTTCGATAATCACTTTAAAAAGAATGACATAAAATATAATAAATTTATCTATATTTGGACTGTTTACTATGTATAAATCATAGTGTGAAAATAGGTAATTTTGTATTGGTTTATATAGGATAAGATTTATAAATTTAGATATTGGAAGTAAATTATTCCTTGGCATATTCTAATATGCTTGCAAGATATGGTTTTTTATATAATACCATTTATAATCTTGTAGTTCTATTTGTAAGATATATTTGACTGTAAAAAAAAAAAATAATAATAATAATAATAACAAATTGTCAAAACTGTTCTATAAATGTATATTAACGTGTACTTTGGTAGCTTATAAAGTTTAAAAACCATTAAAATGAACATAATTAAACGTTTAATAAACATAAAGGATACTTAATTATTTAATTGCTTGGGTAATTTTGATTGATATCAGAATGACAATATAAATGGGGGTGTTAATTGTCTGGCCAAAACTAGTGTTGATTTATTATTATTATTATTATTTTTGTAAACAAGTTTAAGTGATAAATTAACATCATAAAGTTTTAAAATAATGATACCAAACTTTTTATTTTTTGACAATCGAGAGTCAGAATTTTGCTCTCTAATACTGGAGGCACCTGATCCCGTCCTAATATATGGGAGGCATAAAAAAATTTTCGAATCGAACTAGTCCCACAAATTTTAATAAATTTTAAATGTAGTATTTATGAATAAAATATTGGTTCATATACTATTTTAATCTAGCTACTTTTGTTCGTTTACTCTCAAAACATCCATTTTTGATATATGTATTTTAAACTTCTGTTCATTTTAATGTTCAGTACTTTTTAAATATACTCGTTTTGGTCCCCATAGTTTTAGAAAGTTATCAACTTTAATTTTATTTTTATCTCATTTGTTTCCATCCCAATTTTAACATGACACTATCAATACATGTGTATTAAAGAGTTTCATTGTATATGAAATTCTACGAATAAGTCCTAAAATATTTACTTTTTAAAATATGCGGACTAAAATAAACATAAGTAAAAAATGCAATCACTAAAATAGTATGTAAACTTAAAAGCAAAGTTACGAGTTCAACCAAAACGACTATGGTATTTTCTAAATAGCATTCATCTATGATATAGTACAAACATATGTCATACATCATCTCTAAAAACGAACGATCCAATCCAACCAATATTCGATAAGAAACTGAAAAACAACCTTACTAAGATATTTTGCAAATAACCATTTCATTTTACAAATCTTCAGAGCGTGTTATAACTCGAATAAAATGACTATACAACATTTACTAATACGAACCTAGTCCAACTAATCAAAATATAAGAAGGTTCGAATCTTCGGCCGTGTGAACTAATAAAAACTATATAATATTTTTAGAAAAGGGCTGTAAAAATGGTGTTATTTAGGGGAGTGTGGTAATGCATTGACTTTGACTTAAAGGGAGAGTGGGGATATGGTAAGGAATCCTGCTGCCTCACACCAAACCTGTCCTCCATTTCCCAATCTTTTCTTCATTTTTAGTGCGAAATTATTGGCGCGTGTTCCATAACCCCACCCTCACACGCCGCCTTCGCACGTGCCAGCTTCAGCTTATACGACGTCGTTTTGCCAGACCACCCAAAACTGCGACGTGTGTTGTGTTCTTCTTACAAAGTCTCTTATAATTGTCTGTTTTGATAAAACTTTTTTTTTTCTCTCTTTCTCTATTCGTCGTTGTTAAAGTTGGGGATTTCTGGGATTATTACATCACCACTAGCAACAACAGAAGCATCCCAGGTCCGATCAGATCCATTCAAATCTCTTCTCTCTTCTCCATTTCTTATCTCTTTTTCTTAATTTTTTCCTCCATTTTTGTTTCCCCATTACTCTCTGAGTTTCTAGGTTTTCCCCTTTTCAACCCTCTCTTTGTATTTTCCGGTTTGATTCTCCGCCCAATTCGGAGTTTTTTTCTTTTCTGGGTTTGGGATTCTCTTTGATCCCTAGGGTTTCACTGCCTTTTGGGTTTGTGTCTTTGTGTTGTTTTTGGAATTGGGTGTGTTTTATTTTTTTAATTTTTGGTTTATAGCGGCACTGGTACTTGAAATGTGTGGGATCGTGACTTAGGGTTCGTGTTCGCACCTTGCCTTTGCGTCCAAGTGTATGACGATTTGGTGCTGCTTATGCTTCACCGTTGGAGAAGAAGACGAAAGGGAAGAACTGAAAGGTGAGATGAAGCCCATGCGTGAGGATGATTTTGAGAACCCGGATGACCCTGATCACATTGTGGGAAATGGCGGGGATTTTGAAGGGGGTGATCGGGTTGCGATTGCTGTGGATGGGTCTGAGCGTCATGATGGTGATCGACTGAGGTTGTTTGAGGATATGGTTAGGGCAATGCACGACGGCGGGGATGCTGGGGCTCAATGGGACGATGGGCTGCGCGGCGGTGCGGGTATCAACCCTTGGAATTTGTCTTTTGGAATTAAGCATCAGTCCGAGGGGGGAGAGAGTAGTAGCGCCTCGGCTTTGGCCTTGCCATCTGCGGCTGCTACAGTCGAGACTTCTAATGAAGAGCGCGATCGCGATGCCCACCACAAGCGCGCCAAAGTTCACTCCAAATTCAAGTGAGTCTGTAGTAAACTGCTTACGAATGTTGTGTTTTATGCTAAGTTTCATGGGTTTGGCACTTTGCTTGGTTTTCATTACTTTGCTTTTTCCTACTTTTGAGAAGGGGCGTAGAAATTTTCCTTGAATTTTTCTTTTTCCGTGGGATTTAGCACTGCATATTGTGGTGGTTTTGTGATGAAGATTGTTAGCATTTGCTGAGGTTGCCACTTACCAATACGCTAAGTTATTTGTATTTTAGCCGTCAATGCATGCGTTTCTTTGTTACTTTTCGTGCCGGTTATCTCTGAATAATGTTCTGTTTTGAACTGCAAGTTCGTGACCAAAAAGTAGTTGTTTTATGAACTGGATGTGCTTGCATTTCTTTATTTTCTAACAGTATCAATTTTGGAAAAGTAGTTGTTCTATGGACTTCTACTTCTGTAAATAAATCTATGTTGTATGACACTTCATTTTTTTTTTAATAATTGAAGTGGTCTATTTGTGAAGCAAACCTCGTCCGACTTCCATCTTCATGGTATTAGACTGTTGCCAGCCTCTTTGTCATCACATTTTAGAAATATTTCCTTGATTTCAAAATTGAAAATTTATTTCTCACTCAAAAGTGGCATGTTGCCGAATGGTTCTCTTCTCGTTATTTTATGGTGCCTTGTTGCTCTCTTTAATACGGTAACTTCTCCTGTAGAATAATAAGTTCCTTTTTAATAGTGTTTACTGATGCAAGAATATGATAATTAGATGTAAACAGAAATGCGTTACTAAAAAATCTGGGTTTTTATCTTTGTTGAAAGGCAATGGAAAGAAAGATATAGGAAAACACTCTCAACTGCCCTCAGATCTTCATGACGAAGTATCTCAAACTTTTAGGTTAAGTGTAGGTTTTATAATTTCAAACGGCTTCGTTCTATACTGTTGAACAACAAAAGCTTTTCTAGAATAGAGGATATCATACGGCATGCAAAGATGACATTCAAATTCTCTTGCAGTTGGAGTCGTTTGAGTTAGTAGTGCCTTGGATAAGTTTTCTTTTCATTAAATAGAAAATAATTTATTGACTTGGGAATTCATCCTGTGGTTTACGTTTTTGAAAAGAAAATGGGAATATTTGTTGTTTTTGAGTGTCTTATTAGTTGTCTTTTGAAGTAACCATAAATGTACTATGGTAGTGAGGGTGTTTTAATGCATAGGTACTCTAAATACATGATTTTATTTAAATGCACAAAATCAAAGGTGCTTCAAATTTCAGTCATATTTTTTCCCATATGATACCAAACAAGTTTTGTAAAAATTATTCTTGTAAATTGTTGTCAGGATATGCCAACACAAGTTCTTATGTTTTCAAGCATTGTTAACCTTGGTTACATAATGGTCAGACTCATTTGCAAACCTACTTTTAATACTATACTTACGTTTCTTATTAAAAAAAATTGTCTTCATTAAGGTTTATCATCAAGGGGTGAGCATAAAGGCAATTCAACCAGGTGGTTGTAGGTTTAGAACTCCTAGAACCTCTTTTGATTTTGTTTTACTACTAAATCTGATCTTCTGTTGGAAACTCTAACCCTTACCTGATGGTCGATGATATATTATGTGATCACTGGTTTAGAAAAGAGTAAATTCTGAGTTAATGAAACAATATCTATGTACAGTATTTATCATTCTTGTTAATTCATATTCTCTCAGACCATTTAGATCTTGCTGAATACCCCTATTTGGTTTCCTAAAATAATAAGTTAGACCAGTTGGAAAGTGCAGAATCAGAATTGCACGACTTAAGTTTGTGAGAAGTGTTATTTGTCTCTGTAATTATTGTTTATGTAGTGTCTTATTTTCTTTTCTTTTCAATTTTCTCTAGTGAGTGCGCCTTTTCAACTCCTTGGCCTTTGGGCGCTGGAAATCCTGCGAGAGATTATGATTTTTGTCACGGATCATCTTCAATTATGACTAGGAATGAGTTTTTCTACCATGCTTCTACATCAAACAGAGTTGATGATGGCGACGATTTTGATTCTAGTTTTGCTAAAGATGATGAGATAAATGAGAATGATGCCTGTAAATCAGAGGAATTTGAAGTACGGATGGATCTTACAGATGATTTACTGCATATGGTATGCATCTCCAAAGATTTATGAGTTCTCTTGCTTATCTTATAATTTCTGTATTTCTTATTCACATGAAGTTATTTCATCTCTGGTATCAGGTTTTCTCTTTCTTGGATCACATCAATCTTTGTCGAGCTGCTATAGTCTGCAGGCAGTGGCGAGCTGCTAGTGCTCATGAAGATTTCTGGAGGTGTTTGAACTTTGAAAATAGGAAAATATCCATGGAACAATGTAGGTTTGTTTGTTTACTAGTTAATTTTTTTGCCAATTTTTTTCACAACTTCCAGAGTAGTTGAGAACTTGAGATGATCTTTAAAATTTTGGTTCTCTTGGAAAGAGAGGTAATTTATTTGACGTGACTTCAAAATATGAAGGATCCAGTAGTCTGAGTCTAGAATGACCTTAGTCAAAGTCACCCAAGACATATTGTTGTTGAAGCCTAGGACTATGACATATTTGGAGCTCTTGTTCAGTACCCAGTATGATTTTTCTCCCTTAAAATATTTTTGCATTTATTTTTATAATATACATGAAAGAACTTCTGCTGTGCTATTGTTAGTTTTGTCAATCTCTTTGATCTTTGACATTAGTTCTGGACATTCTGTAGTAGTCTTCTTGCCAATGCATCATTTTCAATTTCATTTCGTGTTTCATCTATTTTTGTCCAATTAGATTTGCTCTTTTTGTCTTCCATCTAGTATCTATATTTATCCAATCGTATTTCTCTGCCTCTCTGTCAGCATTTATCGAATCATGTTTTCTATTTTGCTTGATTTCTATTATTATTCTGATTTGGAGCTATTTAATTAATTGATTATAATTTTTTACTGTAGTTGAGGATATGTGTGGAAGATATCCAAATGCCACAGAGGTAAATATATCTGGTGTTCCTGCCGTTCACTTGCTTGCTATGAAAGCAGTTTATTCTTTAAGGTAATAATCATATTTTTGTCTTTTTAATTTCCTGATCTTGAATCTCTGTGATGCTACTAATTACTTTCATATTTTCCAGAAATTTGGAGGTTTTAACTTTGGGGAAAGGACAACTGGGCGACACCTTTTTTCACGCCTTGGCAGATTGCCATTTTCTGAAGAGCCTGACGGTCAATGATTCTACGCTAGTTAATGTTACACAGGAGATACCTATAAGCCATGATAGACTGCGTCATCTTCATCTTACTAAATGTCGTGTTATACGCATATCTGTTAGGTTGCTACTGTCTATGTATTGAAATGGTAACTGTGTTTACTGGTTGAGACACTCTTGTCTAAAGCATGTTCTCTTGCAGATGTCCACAACTTGAAACATTGTCTTTGAAGCGCAGTAACATGGCACAGGCTGTTCTTAATTGCCCTCTTCTCCATGACCTGGATATAGGCTCTTGCCACAAGCTCTCAGATGCTGCAATTCGCTCAGCAGCTATTTCGTGCCCACAATTGGAATCTCTTGACATGTCTAATTGTTCCTGTGTCAGTGATGAGACATTACGCGAAATAGCCTCAGCCTGCCAGAATCTCCAACTTCTGAATGCATCATACTGCCCAAATATATCTTTGGAGGTGGCGTACCAATTAAGTTATACTTTTTAGTTAAAGTGATTATTTTTTCCTTTGGACCTCCTTTTTTCCTGATATTTTGGTTGGTTTTCCTTTTGAAGTCTGTAAGACTGTCGATGCTGACGGTGCTTAAGCTTCACAGCTGTGAGGGCATCACTTCAGCTTCAATGACTGCAATATCTCATAGTTATAAGCTGAAGGTCTGAAATTAAATATTTCAACTGTTCTATTTCCTAGTTGTATGATGTTGTATCTGAATCAGTTGAACATGGAATGGAGACTTATTGCAGGTTTTGGAGCTTGATAATTGCAGTCTTTTGACTTCTGTGTCACTGGATCTTCCATGTTTGCAGAATATTAGACTGGTCCACTGCCGCAAGTATGTGCTCTCGTCTCCTCAGCGACTTCTAGCTTCCATCACAACTTCATTTAGGATGCCTTTTTTACCGGTCTTAACTCTTTTTCTCCAAGTTAAACCTGTGGTGATTTCTTGTGTGCAGATTCTCTGATTTGAGCTTACAGAGTGTTAAGTTATCATCCATAATGGTCTCTAATTGTCCAGCACTTCACCGGATCAACATCACTTCCAATTTACTTCAAGTATGTCTTAATGGGTTTCCTTTCTTCTTTCATTTTATGGGGTATAGAATAATCCTGGACTGTATTTGTGGACTTGCAGAAATTAATGTTGAAGAAACAGGAGAGCTTGGCTAAGTTGGCTTTGCAGTGTCCCGGTCTGCAAGATGTGGACCTCACAGACTGCGAATCTCTAACAAATTCTGTTTGTGAGGTTTTTAGTGATGGTGGTGGATGTCCTATGTTGAAATCACTTGTTCTTGATAACTGCGAGGTAAGTTTCTCACTGTTAGCCTGTCACCCGTTAGTATTGTGGTATCAGCCTTCTGTGACTTCATAGTTTGCCAATTATTTGGTTTTGACTTTGCATCGATTTCTAATGTGGTCATTTTTCTTTTGTTCAGAGTTTAACTGCTGTTCGATTCTGTAGTAGTTCTTTAGGAAGTCTTTCCCTTGTTGGTTGCCGGGCGATCACTTCACTCGAACTTAAATGCCCTAATCTCGAACAAGTTTCTCTTGATGGCTGCGATCATCTAGAAAGAGCATCATTTTCCCCTGTATGTGAAAACTGCTGGCGTGTCGGCGTGACTGTTTTTTAGCATCTACAAATATTCTGAGTTTTTAGGATTGAGTTTTCTTGTTTCTCTCTTTCTGAAGGTTGGTCTGCGGTCACTAAACCTTGGAATTTGTCCAAAATTGACTGAATTAAGACTTGAGGCTCCTCGTATGGATTTACTCGAGTTGAAAGGTTGTGGTGGATTGTCTGAGGCAGCCATCAATTGTCCACGTCTAACATCATTGGATGCTTCCTTTTGTGGGTTAGTTTTCTTATCATCTGTGGACCATAGCTTCGCGTTTTATGTATACTCAATGATGCTTATATAGTCAATTCCTTCGTTTTCCCTTGCAGTCAACTGAAAGATGAGTGCTTGTCTGCAACTACTGCCTCGTGTCCACAGATTGAGTCACTAATACTGATGTCATGTCCTTCGGTTGGTTCAGAGGGACTTTACTCTTTGCGATGCCTTCTGAAGTTGGTTGTGCTTGATTTATCATATACCTTTTTGATGAGTTTGCAGCCAGTCTTCGAGTCTTGTGTACAACTAAAGGTAACCTTTATGTTAGACATATCGCTCTTTAGGCAATTAAGGGTCTGTTTGGTATCGTTTTTATTTTTGGTTTGATTCTCATTTCTTGTTTCTCGTTTCATCTTTTTTTAAGAAACGTTGGTATCTGTTTTTTATTTTTATTTTTTTATTGAAGAAAAAAAAAACTAGAACTAGAATTAGATTTTCAATTTTTGGAACGTTTCTTACTGTCAAATACTCATGTCTCTCAAAAATTGGAAATGAGAAGCATCAAAGCATGATACGAGAAACAAAAATGTTACCAAACAACCACTACGATATTACTCAAAATATTATCACGGCCTCACCTGATCTTCTCATGCTTTGTCTTATTCTTAATGAAGGTATTGAAACTACAAGCATGCAAATATTTAACCGACTCATCGCTGGAGCCCCTTTATAAGGAAGGTGCTCTTCCAGCTCTTCAGGAGTTAGACTTATCTTACGGGTCACTTTGTCAATCTGCCATTGAGGAACTTCTTGCTTGTTGCACACACCTGACTCATGTGAGCTTAAATGGCTGTGTGAACATGCATGATCTAAACTGGGGTTGTAGCACTGGACATCTTTCTTTGTCCGGCATCCCGCTTCCTCTTGGTCAGGCCACTATTGACGATATTGAGGAACCGGTTGCACAGCCGAACCGTTTATTACAGAATCTTAACTGTGTAGGTTGTCAGAGTATTAGGAAAGTTCTCATTCCTCCAGCAGCACGCTGTCTCCATTTATCATCATTGAACCTATCTCTGTCTTCAAATCTCAAAGAAGTCGACGTTTCTTGTCTCAATCTATGCTTTCTTAATTTGAGGTTATACTCCCCCCTTCAACTCTGTCAACAGTTCCAGATGATTTTTTGTCTATCTTTGTGCTAAATCCCTTTTTGTGATCTAGTAATTGTTGCTCTCTGGAAGTTTTGAGACTTGACTGCCCGAGACTGACCAGTCTCTTTCTCCAGGTATTTTTTATTATCTTCCATGTAAGTTTTGGATGTTTAAATACCAACTAGTAACTAACAAGGGTAGGGGATAAGCTGGGCGAAAAATGGGGTCAGCACAGATCACTAATTGAAATAATAGCTAACTCAGACAATTATTCAATGTGGCCTCTCCCAATCATTGGATGTATAGTTTTTAATTTCTCTCTCATGCATCTAACGGTGGTAGCTACACCGTTCCCCCGTCCATCCCTCCCAAATAATTTCTTCCAATAACGGGGTAGAACTCCTCCCCCGACCCCTGTGCGTCTGGTTTTCTTCAGGACCCCAGTTTTATTTGCATCATTTTGATTATAATTTTCGGAGTTAAGAGATGCATATGATGCCCAATGACATGAAGCTAACTAGATCTGTGTTTTCCTAGTCTTGCAACATTGAGGAAGAAGCAGTTGAAGCCGCGATATCGAAATGTAGTATGCTCGAGACACTAGACGTCCGCTTTTGTCCGAAGGTGTGAGGGCTGTCTTTGTTTCGCTCTTCTACATTGTTTAGTAGTTTTGGCTGTGTTAACGATAGCTTTGGCTGACCTTGAACTGTTTCTTCTACTGGCAGATCTCGTCGATTAGCATGGTACAACTGCGTATTGCTTGCCCGAGTTTGAAGCGGATCTTCAGCAGTCTGTCTCCAACGTGACTAACTCTTCTTTTCCCTAAAAATTTTCCTCCCACTTGTTAATTTCAAGTCTTCAGAGACGACCCGTCACTTTACGTATATGATGGTGTTGAAAATTCTGTCAACTTCCGTTTGCTTGGGGTATATAGTTAGCTTTTATGTTTGGGACACCTTTAAAAATAAGTTATCTTTGTCTATATTGCTACCAACCAGCTAAGTTAAGTTAGCCTTTCCATCTATTTAATTCAGTTTTGCAGTGTCTATGAGAGAGATTAAGAATGAATGATTGAGAATACGTTATTATTTTCAGTATCTGTTGATACAATCAATTTCTTCCTTATCTTAACCATTCATCCTATTATTATGACATTTTTAATTCTTAATCATTCATTACTGCCAGCCACTGATATCTTAAAACTTGTGGCTTAATTTGAACATTATCGCTAAAATGCAGTATATATCTTCAATCAAGAGGTTTCAACATTATCGTTAAAATGCAGCATATATCTCCAACCAAGAGGTTTTGAGTTCGATCTTCCGTCTTGTATGTTGTACTAAAAAAATATTATCTCTAAAATACGTACAGTCTCCCTTATTTTGTTTAAACCTACCAACACTTTCCTTGAACCAATTACATGATTTCGATAAAAGCTTTAGTCTCTATGGTCTCTTTCCTCGCCCGATGGCAGAGGTCAATCCCCTATCACCTTCGATGCCTCCTTGTGGTCCTTCTCTTTAGCTTTTCCTCGGCCTTTAGAGTTAGAGCTAGTTGATAGGCCACTTTCCACATCTGATGCATTGAGATTTCATCTTGGATTTCGAACCTCAAGCCCTATCAWGCAARGGATTCTTCGTCRGATTCGTTCAAGCCATTGCGAATAAACAATTGGTAGAACTCCGCAACTTGTTAGGAGTAGGGGCTTTCTTGTACGCTTCTCTCCCCCCTATCCTAACAAGCGAAGTGAACCCTTTAGAACAAGCTTTGGGTCTAATCGGAGGGTAGAAATTTATCCCGCAACCTCGATCGCATCTTGTCTTGTCTCATGTACTTCCCTTTGCCTTTCCGCTGACGCCTTACTTGGACTTGATCCCACCAAATTGAGGCATGACCCTTGCTCAGGAATTTCATCTTCGCATACCTCGTCTCGTTCTTTCCAATCAAAGAACTTTTCCACGCTACTTTTTCAATCCTAGTTTATTTTGGTTTTCTTACTTTTAACTTTGGTTCATTCTAATTTTAGTACTTTTAAAATGTTCGTTTTGGTCTCGATATATTTGAGAAGTGACTATTTCAGTTTATGTTTGTAAAACTTGGAAACAAATTCTATACCTAATGGAAACTCTTTAATATAAAATTATGATTATATTTTAAAGAATAATGGAAACTCTTTAATATAAAATTATGATTATATTTTAAGGAATACGTCAAAAGCAGTATGGTGTTGAAATTATGATTGAAAAATGAGATAAAAAGTAAAATAAAAGAGAGAGGATCTTTTTTAAGTAAAAGACTGAAAATAAACCAAATTTTAAAGTAAAAATATTAAAATGAATATTTTGAAGTATGGAAGCAAAATGGAAAACAGAAGTTCCAAAAAAGTATTTCAAGGGAGTTGAAACAAGGAAAGTTTGATCTTTTTGTGGAAAAATGTTGAATGGGGCATTGATTATTGTGCCGACAGTAAGAACTGAGAAGTTCGAAGCAGAAATGAGAGACTGAATATTTTATGAAGAGAGCAATTTGGACATTTCCCACCGACAATACCCGAGGAATCAACACACGTGAAAATGTTATTAACAAAATTTGTCTTCTCATTTACAGGCCATTTGGGTCATCAGCCGATGGTGGTTGCGCCGATTTGTTTGTTTGGGCCACTCACCCTTTGAGTGAAGGCCAAGTCTCCACCGCCTGAAACCTCACTTATTCTTCAATTTTCTCTCTCTCTCGGTACGGGAGCTGCAATGGCGACCAAGATTCTGTGGTTTCTCTTGTTTTTCGCCCTCTTCGTCTCTGTGTTTTCTGCCACAGACTGTAAGTTGGAGTTTCCCCCTTACCCACTTACTCATTTTCTTACTTCAGCTGCCATTATTGTTTGCTGAAGCTTAAAATTTCAAGTTCTTCACTGTAAAGTGCATCTGATGGTTCTAGTTTGAAGATTATCTTCTGGGTATGTTGTATTTGATCTGCATTTGACCTGGGAGCTTCTCCTTTTTCCTTTGCCACTGGGTTTTCTCATTCTGACCTATTTGATTGTTAACATCCATGAACAGTTCTAAGTTCAGATCTGTAGCTATTCTGCAACTTCTGTGTTATTTCTCTGGAAAATGTTTGCCTCCTTGCTGTTGATTGATTGATTTTTGGTTTTTGATCTGTTTTGTATCTTTTGAAATTGAACTGGAAAAACTCTGCTGTTGTTTTGGAACAGTTGCAGCAAATGTGACTGATAATCCTGCTGATAAACTAGTTGTTGTGCTTAACAAGAACAGAACTGCACACAAATTGGCTGCTCTTAAAGACAATCCTGGCCTGGCCTGCCTTGCTCTTCAGTATATCAAGGCGTACCAAGGCAAATGCGGAGAGGTCGGAGGCCCCGATGGAATGAAGCCTCCGAATTCTGCGTTTGCTGAAACATTTGCTCCCAACTGCGGAGTTGTTGTCTCATCTCTTTCGCCGATCACGGGGCGGCTGCTTGGTTGCCAGTCCAAATATGTCCATGCTCCCGAAGCGTTCTCGGATGTTTTGATGCTGAATGACAAGAGCTTGGAGATTCTATACCACAAGAATCACACGGAAGTTGGAGCTGCTGTGACTGGCACTGATGGAGGTTCTCCTTACTTTTGGTGTGTGTTGTTCAGCAATGGCAGCATCTCTAACAGCTTTGCTTTCGAGGGAGGAGTTGCGAAGCTGACACGCCCTGGATGCTACAGTGGAGCTAACGACCAATGCAGCGGAGCCGATAGCCAGTTCTCGACCACCAACCATATCTTGCTATTAGCCTTGACATCTTTGGTTGCCATGGCATATGCGTTGGGTGTATGATCATCAGCCATCAGGTCTCATCCAAACTCGTAAAAGTATCATTTTACACGATTGGCGACCACCTGTTTTCTTTATCGATAGTTGGTGGTGCATTCATTGTTTTTGTTTTGTGGTTCCCGATTCGTTTTCAAAGTGCCAATTCATGCTATTCTGTCATCATCCTAGATTGTAGAGTCTTGTGCATTATTGGATCTCATAGGAGCCATTTTTCTCAGTGAGAGTTGTTAAGAGAAGTTCCACTATCTTAGTCAGTGTCATGTTTGAATCAGATTTTTGAGCTGATCTAATGAAATATTTGATATATGATGATGAATTGAAATTCTACTACTGGTATATGAGACAGGAAGTTCCCTGCATAATCTTTGATCCAAATACGTCGTAAATCCTAGGTGCAAAACTGCCAAAAAAAAAAGGAAAAGAAAAGAAAAACCGCAAAAGAAAGTGTAGATTTTGTCCACTGATGAAACTATGAAGTATTGTTTAAAGTTACTCCCAGAACACGAGAGAAGCTCTACACTTCAAAACAAATGCAAGAAGCAGAAGAATGAAGAATATGCCACAAGAAGAGCCACCAACTCTGTGAATCCAGTAAGCATCAAACCTGGCACATCTCTGTTCCAAGTGAAGCAAACCAGCAATAACAAAGATCAAGGTTATCAGAAGAACAGGCAACCAGAACCCGAAGTTAATGGATGATTCCTCATCCTCGTCCAGCTCAACGGTCGGTCTCCGGTCGATGTAGAGCGGTGAAACCACCGCCAGAAGGCCGAGCCCCACTGCCACCAACCGGTCGTAGGACGAGAACCCGCTCCTCCTCGACATGGAAAACAAGAGTCCTTGTTCTCTGAAGTCTGTTGTTGTATGGAAATGGAAGTGATGGGAATGTTGAAGAGGGAACTTATTCGGAGGAAGAATGAGTGTTGAGTAAACTTAATTGGGATAGAATGGTTGGTGGGAACAGAGGCATTATTCGCCATTAATGAACAGAGCCTCAATTCATTATTTTTTTTGGGAGTTGGAATCTGATTCTGCCGCCGTCAACTGAAATTTTTACACACCAAAAGAAAACAGAACATGAACACTGTTGGAGAATGGACATTGGAGATTTGTTTTTTCAAATCACAGTGGAGAAATGTTTTGTTGGTTAATGGTTAAATTATAGTATAAAAATAACATGACATAACATAACATAAAAAGTTAAAAACTAAGTCCAAAATTATATTTTTAATCACTCATAAATTTTTGCTTTGATTTCCCTCCCCTAAAATTTTGGTTTTATATTTTATTCTGGCTTCTTCCTTTTCTATAGTTTTAAATTTTACTACTTAACTGTGTCACATCAAAATTTTTAATTAAAAAAATAAGATAAATTAAAAGAATCAAAACCAAAAACAAAATTTACACAGAAACCAAATTGGATGTTTTAAAAGTAGAGATGACCAAAATGAACCAAAACCAAATACAAATAGTATTTAAACCTTAAATATCCACTCTCCAATTCAAAATATTCCCATGTAATATAGGTTTCTTGTCATTCCTTGGTTGAAAGAAATCCGGTAAAAGCAAAACAAATGAGGGAAAAAATCAATAATTTAAATTAGGGCATACGATAATGCTAAGCTGAATTCTGATAGTTGACCTATTTTAGCACCAAACAGAAATTGCTGGTTGATGCGCAGGAATAAGAAAAGACATTAAAGATATAGATTAAGAGCGGATATCGACACGTCGATGTCAGACCCGAACCCATCCATCTTCAGTTTCAGCTGCAGCCTCTGGCAAAGTTGAAGAGTTTGAATGGTCTTCTTCAGCATCCACCAACATCCTCTTCCTCACATCTCTTCCACTTCTAACATCATCCTTCAAAATCACCACCAAGTTTTTATAGCTAATAAATAAGAATCGGCAATGCTAACTATCAAAGAACAGACCGTTTAGGCCCAAAATTCAGGAAAAAAAAATTGTTACTTTACCTGACTAACACGAGTATGAACAACTCGTGGTGGACGGGATTGCCTTAATCTTTCAATACTTCTAAAATCACCCTCCAAACATTCCGCATGCATGACAGTAAATTTTTTTCATCTACCTGAGTTGTTAGACAAGAAACACAAGCAACAAAATTCAATTAATAAGATCAGATTCTCGATTCTTGAGAGAGCTACATGATAGTATAACGCATTTTACTTTTCACGGGAAATCTTAAATACACGATAATACATCTCTAATCTATTTCTCTGTTTCTTTAAAATTGATAATCTTTATAATTATGTCATCAGGAAGAGGAATGTCAACTACCCACTTCACACAAACATCTATATCAACTTTTTCTTGTACAACAGCACGATACTTCGTCGTGTAGAAGTAGAACGAAAAAAAAAACCCTTAGTTACTGAGAAAACAGATTTTTTTAAATACTAACTAGGATGTGTATGTACCTCTTTAATGCTGCCATCAAGAGCCAGAACATCTAGAGATAACAAACCATCCCCGAGAATACGTTCTAAACCACCGATTTCATAAATGGCTCTGCAAGATCAAAATCACAAGTTTCTCAGATTGATACAAATATAGGAATTATTCTAATATCCCTATGCATCAACTACCATCTAAAGAACATCAAGAACAAATTCAAAGAATCGATTTTATTCGGGGAAGAAAATTCAGAGTAATGATCAAAACTACCTTTGGTATCAGTAAACCATGTGGAAATTTGGGAGGTCAGTAGTTCCAATTTACGATGCGAACGAGGATCATCCCCTTCTTCCTTCACACCCACCTGAAGAGTCGATCAACGGGAAAACACCAACCAGATACCTTCATCGAACAATCGCAAAGCGAGATTTCGATTTTCTAAATCATCCATCTCGCCGCATCCACCTTTTAACCCTAAAACCGCCCATTATCAGAGTAAGACAAAATTTTCAAAAGTCCAGAAGAGAAACATGAATTGATTATAGATAAGAAGGGGGAGAAAACTTTTTAAATGTAAGAACAGAGAGTGATGAGAACGGCTACGTAACGATGGCGTTAGCCTTGAAAACCCTAATTGCAATTTGCAATTGAACCGTTTAGAGGTTTTCGTGGAGAGGAAGCAACTAAATGATTAAACATAAATAATATTTAATAATAACAACAACAAAAGGGGCTGGGCCTAATTAATGTAGAAGTGGGCCTACAGTGTGTACCCATTACTGGGCCTTCAACAAGGGACGGATATCCACCACTATTGACAAATAAAATAAACATAAAATCTACAATACTTTTGTTTTAACTTTACTAAGAAAAGTCACTACAATTTGTCAAAAAAAAAAAAAGTCACTACATACAATCTAATAAATCTAGAGATATTTAAAAAAATATATAATACAAAATGGGTTTTTCTAATGCGTAGATTAGATATTTATTAAAACAAATAACATTCATGAAACTGTACTATTACCATGGAAAAACGAACAGCTACGTTTCAAGCAGTCAAGAGATATGCCGACCTAATAACGTCAGTTCGACTAAGTCGGGTTGAATTTGCCTTATTGTTGCCACCATCAACGTGCATAGAGGGCGGATTTAACTGATCGTAGTTAGCACCTATTACTAGTCTAGCCATGATCAAATTGAGGGAGAGAAACTTAGCCTTCCTTACCAATCGATTTAGCTTCGATCACCTATAATAAAGTTAGGTAATCCATTATCTAGGTATGGTCGAATCCCATCCGAATATACTACCCACCTTCCCAACCAATACTAACTTAGATATTGGAGTATTCTTCTCTATTTTGCAGGTCACTCTACTTGTTTAGGGATAAGTCTTACTACTCAAACATACAATTCTGTGCATGAACACATCCAATATTTACAACATTTTGTTATATTATCTCTAATCTCAATTCAAAACTTTCGACGACACAGGCATGTATTTCCTCCAAATATATCAAGTATGTATATATATATATATATATATATATATATATATATTATATTATAAATGATTCCATCAAAATGCAAAATTACTACGTTAAACATGAAATTCATAATTATTTTTCTAATTGCATAGTAGAATTCATAAACGCTTTACATGGTTTGTAAATAGTTAAATCTCTAAATAAACTGGAAATAAAAATGTTATCAAACAAACCCTATAAACCTATTATTTGATCAGAGTAGTGGTTGAATTACTTGAATAATACTATTTGGCTAAACTAACAAATATAGCCTCCATGAATTAATCAATGGTGGCCAAAAATTAATCACTGTCCAATAGGCATTCATTCAGGCAAGCCTATATATATATGAAAAAGAACCAACTCAAAATTCTATACTAGTAAAAATAAATAGCAAAAACATGAAATTATGATTGCATTAAAATTATTAGTCGAGATTATAAAAATGTGGAATTAACATTCATGGAAAGTTAAAAACATTAAGTTATTCAGTAATTCTGGACGATATTGAAGATGTTGATTCTCCTTAATAAAAAACAATATAACTATTTCGAGATATAATACGATTTAAATAGGTGTGGTCACACTCGTTTTGAATGAATATAATATTCATTATCTAAAGCTCAAGTATATCACCTTATCAAATATCATGTGAATTTTATACGATGATTAACAGATGGAACATTTGTAGTTTTTATACAATTTAAACATGATGAAAATACCAGTATTTCCCCTAAATAGACCAAGTAAAAAATATTTTACATGGATTACAAATGGTTGGGGATGAAAGTGTGGATTTAATTTACATAAAATTTACTTTACATTATTATGTAAGTGCTCCTTCTAATTAGGTAGTAATAATATAGTTAGTGTATATTAGTAATTAGATTTGTTATAAATAGGGTGAGATGTTAGGTATGAAGTGATTTAGGTTTGAATAAGAACACTACAGAAGAGAGTCTGAATACCTTGAATTACTCGAAAGTTATATTGTAATTCTTTTATCTTTATATTTGAATATTATTATATAAAATAAATATGCATTTTTTTTAACTTTACAAGTTAAACATAATAAAAAAAAAAGAAAGTTTCTGATATATTAAAATATAATAATATTATTTATTACAGTATTACCATTAAATAATTGATAATGTGTTATTTTTTAAATATATATTTTTAGATTTTTCTCACTTAATTGAAAAAAATAGGTGTTTTCCTAAAAGACAAACAAACAAACCGCACGTTTATAATTTGGGCTCGTTAGTGTAGAAACATTACTGGTCGCTACTTGCCATCTGGCAGCGAAAGGAGTAAGAAAAAACATGGATAAAGGTATGACGTGGCAGTTGCGGTTCGTACCGGAAATTTAGCCATGGGCGTCTTCGATTCAACTACCACTCGCTCGGCTCGTTGAAATTTTGGCCACCAATTCCAATTCTCTTCCCTCTCTGAAACCTCCAGTTCCGGCGCCGGTCCGATGCTCTGATGGCGGCCGATTTTGCGC